TCCTTCTTTCCTGTATCAAGGAGAGCATAACGGTTACCTATAACCACGGCAGGAGGGTTCGGAGCAAGGTGGAGCACTGCCTGCTGCCAGAAGTAACCAGCTGCCAGTGTCCACCCTGAGCCATCTCCTCCTCCACCAGTGGTGTATCAGCAGTCCTGTGTACTGGGACAGCTACCTCAGCTGTCTCCACATGGACACTGTTGCTGTGTTGAAAGCTGCAGAGAGGTAAAGCAGTGCAAGCACTGAAGTTTTATGGCAATGAATATACACCATAGGTCATCCATTAGAGCTTCTAATATTGTCTGGAGCTTGGGTCCCTTTCATGTTATACCTATCACTTTACCTGAAGGAAGAGGTCTCTGTAGCTCAAAAGTTTGTTTCCTTTACCAACAGAAATTGGTTCAATAAAAGATATTATCTCATCCACCTTATCACTTTACAAAAAAGTTATGTATTTTAATTCCATAACTAAGGATGGGTTGGGCTTCTTGTTAAGGCATGGGACTTGGATTTGAGAGACTAGTGTTCTGGTCCCAGCTTTGCTGCAGATTTACTGTATGATATGGGCTAGATTCATTCCTTTTTAAAGCACTTTGAGATCTTTGGATAGAAAGTGCTTCGTATAAATGCAAACTACTGCTTTATTTTAACCTTGCTTTTTCTTTAACTCTCAATTTAGGCCACTAGAAACCTTGCCTGACTGCGAACCACAAGGTGTAAATAACTCTTGTGGCATTTCCAATGTTCAGTTTTTTGTCAACCTGGAGGTCTGGGTGGAAGCTAACAATGCCCTTGGGAAGGCTGAATCTGAGCACGTTGATTTTGATCCTGTGGACATTGGTAACTATATGCTTTAATTAAGATCCTGAAGTACTGAAGAATTGCAATAGAACTAATTGTTACTGCTCTGAATGTTGTTGAACTAGGGTGTAGATGCTGTTTCTATATTGTAAAATACTTCAAGCTGTTGGCAACAGTAGTTCTGTGCTCAGAAAAGTAGTATACTATGGACTAGATCCTGAGCAGTGCTGGGCAGAGGTCTTGATGTGAAAGGTGATTCTGATTTTTCTCTCCCCACCTCACTCCAGATTGGGGGGGGATGGGACGGGACGGGGAGAGAAGCAGCCTGCTACCCAGCCAATTTCTAATGTAAAGTGTAGCAACCAATTGCACCTATCAATTCCCACCCCAAAAAAGCCTTTTGGCAGCCAGTTATTACCAGAGTAGACTCACGTCTTCACTGGGACTGGAGGGGTGCCATAGGAACCATTATAGTATAGTCCCCTAGGCAGGGGTAGTACTACTCCAGCCATGGTTATGCAGCTGTAAGAAGGACTAGAATCTGGCCTTTTATTTCTGAAAGGTGGAAAATTATAGCCCTCGTTGTTCAGCTTTTCTGCAATACATTATCTCCTCCAAAGAAAGAGCACTCTCCAGGCATCTGGTACTGTCAGTGAGTAGTCTAGAGCAGGGGCGGACAAACTTTTTGGCCTGAGGGCTGCATTGAGTTTCTGAAATTGTATGGAGGGCTGGTTAGGGGAGGCTGTGCCTCCCCAAACAGCCAGGCGTGTCCCAGCCTTCCCCCTCCCGCCCCTCCATCCGACCGCTGGCCACCGCCACACTTCTTGCTCCCTGACGGGGCCCCATCCAACCGCCCCTGTTCCCTGATGCTCCCCCCACTCCCTGTCCCCTGACTGCCCCCCCAGGACCCCTGCCCACATTCAACCCCCCTGTTCCACGCCCTTTGACCGCCCCAACCCCTATTCACACTCCCGACCACCACCCCAAACTCCCCTGCCGTCTATCCAACCCCCCCGTTCCCTGCCCCCTTACCGTGCTGTGTGGAGCACCGGTGGCTGGCGGTGCTACAGCTGTACTGCCCGGCTGGCGCCAGCCACACCACCGCACAGCACGGAGCACTGGGTCAGGTCCCAGCTCTGCAACTGCGCTGCCCCAGGAGCTCAGAGCCCCGCTGCCCAGAGCATTCTGCCGGCGGCACAGTGAGCTGAGGCTGCGGGGGAGGGGAGACAGCAGGGTAGGGGCTGGGGGGTAGCCTCTCGGGCCAGGAACTCAGGGGCCGGGCAGGAGGGTCACGTGGGCCAGATGTGGCCCGTGGGCTGTAGTTTGCCCACCTCTGGTCTAGATAATAGAAAAGAGAAATGAACTTGTAAACCAATAAAAATATGCCAGGTATATTAAATACCATACTTCATGCTATACATATGAATTAAACAGTACAGCACTTGGATAATTCAGTACTTTCTCATTCTCTTCTAGTGAAACCTCTACCTCCACACAACTTAGCAGTCAATTCAGGAGAATTACCCACTGTCTTGAAACTGTCATGGGAGAACCAAATTTCACTTGTTGAGATGGAGCTGAAATTTAATATTCGATACAGGATCAGTGACAGCCCAGACTGGATGGAGGTAACCTTATTTTAAATGTTTTAGTGACCTCTTGTGCACTCTGCCACATTAATCCAGAGTCTCCATTCACCATCCATGTGCAGCCGAAGCTCATCCGTTGCTTCAATGCCCTTCGTTGGTACTATATAAGCCATGCTTTCCTCAGTGTATTGCTACCTCCAGAAGTACTGCTTTACTGCACGACATAAATTATTTTTCTTCAGTGATGTTTATTTTGGGGTGTGGGGGGTGTTCTGTCCCGTTATGTATTGATACCTATGACTGCTGATAGCCTTTCTCTCATTTAGTTCGCTTCTTTACTGCTCTTGGGAAGGGACTCTCAGTGGTTTCTTAGCTCTGAGCCTGAGCAGACCTTTGAGGAGAAAGAGGCAAGTATAGACAAGAAGGTGACCTCCCCCCCTTTTACAAACATTTCATTGTCACCTGACAAGGCAGTAATGCCACTACTATCATTGGCTGATGACTTTAGGCTATTCCAGTAATGAAGTGATGAAGCAAGTCACTGGCACCTTGCAAATTTCCCTGGAAGAAGTCCAGTATTCCCATTGCAAGCTCCTGGACATATTGCACACCTCTGCCTCAGCCTGGTGGTACTGCCAATTAATAAAGCCCTCCTAGAGTCAGCCAAGAACAGCTGGCAAACTCCAGTAACAGCCCACCACCACTACCCCCACTACATGCAAGCAGGTTGCTAGAATCCCTGGCTGGGACATGGTATCTTTTGAGTTTTTATTCTCTCACCCAGCACCAAATTCTCTGGTTGTGGATGCAGTCGATGAAAGGAGCAAGCAACATATTCAAAAACCTCCCTTTATAAGAAGGACCAGAAACATCTGGACCTTTTTGGTCGTAGGTGTTACTCGTCAGCAACATTACAGTTTACAGTTCAGGATAGCTAATCACAAAGTGCTGATTTCAAAATATGACTACCTGAACTATGAGTAGTTCAATGCTTTATTGACCATTTGCCAAAGAAACATCGAGAACAGTACATCGCCATAATAATGGAGGGTCAGTTCTTGGCAAAAACGCTGCAGTTTTCTCTCGATGCAACAGACACTGCAACCTGGTCTGTTTCCACCACAGTAGTAGTGATGACGTGAGCTTCCTGGCTTCATTTGTCTGGGTTTCCACAAGAGACACAATCCCCAGTGGAATATTTACCTTTCGATGGCAGATGCTTTTCGCAGATTCCACAGACTACTCACTTCATACCCTGAAGGACTCTGTGACAATACTTCAGTCTTTAGGGTTATACACACCTGTACAAAAGAGGACGTTTAGCAGGTCTCAGTCAGCACAAAGATTCTGCTCTGCTCAATTTTCTGCCTACCATAGGCCACCAGAAAAAACAGCTAAGAGGTCAAGATTTTCAAAGAAAAATCCTGAGGCTGCCTTGACTGCTTCATCCTAGTCTCCAGCGTTGTCCAAACACCAGTTTTGTTTGGACAACAAGTGTCCAGGCCACCCAATGACCAGGTTTTCACAGCTGCATGACACAACTCCCCTTCCTCATTTTGGGCACCTCCTGTCTCTCTTTCATCAAGCATGGGAGGCTATAACATTGGACAAATGGATATTGGAGGCCATTACTTTGGGTTATGCTATCCAATTTACCTCCAACTTGCCCTTTCACTCTCCTTCTCTGTCCCTCTTCAAGAACCCTTTATATATTTTCTCCTTTATTTTAAATGTTTTTTTCTCACAACAATAGGAAATGAACAGCATTTTAAAGAACAAAAAAATGATGGGTACGACCACTAAAAACTAGTTGGGAGATTTGGCAACTGATCTAGTGTCTGAAACTATTTAACTCACTTTTTAAAAATTTACTAGAATTCAGGTTGTGCGATCCCTTAGGCTATATCTGTGCTACCACTTTTGTCGATATAACTTGTTGCTCAGGAGTGTGAAAAAATGCGCCCCTGAGCGACATAAGTTAGCGCTGACCACACTCGCGCATCTGTCAGTGTATGTCGCTACAGCTGCGCCACTGTAAAATCACTAGTGTAGACATGGCCTCAGATGATGTGAATGAAACAATCTGTGGTCATTTTCCCTTTCAGGTATTCACAGTGCTAGTCTACTTTGCAATATTTTTCAGATGCTTTCTTTCAGAACTTCTACCCTCATTAGAAATCTTTCCACAACACTTCTGTTGAGTTGTGTGTGTGTGTGTGTGTGTGTGTGTGTGTGTGTGTGTGTGTGTGTGTGTGTGTGTGTGTGTGAGAGAGAGTAGTAGTTT